AGACTCTCACTGCAGGACTGAGCTGCTGGGGACTGGCAGCTGGGGGCGGGGGCTAAGGGGCGGAGGCTTGGGGGCGGGGGCTGGGGCGGAGAAAAGCAGGAGAGGAGGAGGAGGGAACGAGGATGAGGATGAGGAAGGGAGGATGATAGTGAGGGGAGGAGGAAGGGGAGGTGGTAGTGGTGGTGGTGGACAGTGACAGAATAAAGGAAGAGGATGGAGAAAAGAGAAGGATGGAGGGAAAAGAACAAGAGGCAGGAAAAGCGGATAGATGGAAAAGCAGGAAAACAGAGAGGGTAAAAGGAGGGCAGGATCGGGAAAGGAATAAGATGGGGGTAAGGAGGAGGACCGAGGGGGAGGAGGAGGGCAGGGTGGAGGTAAAAGAGGAACACGACAGAGGGAAAGAAAAAGACGAGGTGCGGGGAAGAGGAGAGAGGAAGGAGAAGGAAGCGGACAGAGGGAGAAGAGGAGGGGGAGGAAACTAGGCAGCGGCGGAACTCATGTTGCTATCTTTCGGCCGACGACCTCAAGCAGGGCCGGGCTACAAACACCGCGGCTGCCCGGGCAGCCCTAGCACCGAAAAGCTGACAGTCGGGCAGGGCCCGGCCGGGTGGCCTCGACGGCTCCAGCTCCCCATGCTCGGGGACCCGGTCCAGCCCCCCATGCTCTGGGACCCGGTCCCGGAGGCTCCTCAGCCCTGTGAGGGGTGCTTCTCCCCTCCCTACCCCCCTCCCCGCCTGGAGGACAGGTGGGGGGTTCGGCCCCTCAGCCGCCGCCGCGGTGCCTCCTCTTCCTCTCTTGGGTTCTAATGGCCCGGAGGAACCCCTTGGGGCCAAGACCAAAATCTACAACCTGCCGCCTCTTCCGCCTCCCACGCTTCAGAAGTGGGAACCTCCGCGGGGCCAGGTCTTCCGCGTCCGGGCACCCATCGGGTCCTGCGCACGCGCCCGGCGGCCGCGCCAATAAGCCCGCGGGCACGGAGCATGCGTGGGAGCCCCGCCCAGCAAACCTCCTCCAAAGGGGAGGAGCGTTTCCAGGGGGCCCGGCGCCTTCCTCTCTGGCATTGGCCGAGGGACCCTGGCGCCCGATTTTGAAAAGAACCAATAGTTTGGAGACCTGGAGCATCTTCGTTCAGAGGTGTTTGGGCCGATATTCACGGGAAATAGAAACTTGTGGTTTCCAGGAAGTTTTTTTCCAGTGCCAATTTGTTTGCTCTGAACTCTGATCTACGCCCATTTCTTAAATCCCTTGATTTTGTTGGTTTTTGGAGGTGCTGATTTCTTTTTCAGATAATCTATTTGGATGCACTAGACCAAAGGAATGAAAAAACAAAAGCAATGGTGTAAAAATAAAGAGACTCTAATGAGAGTTCATATAGTGAGTGGCAAGCACTCATCTCCATTTTACAAGCACTGTTAGCTTCAACAATATTAGGAAACGTCCTGAAGAACAAGGAACAGAGCCAATTTTTTTTTTCTTTCTAGGATTTACGGAGACCCTAACAATAGCCATTCAGCATGTGTGAGGCCTGGAATTATTTATTTTATTTAACAAACACCCACATAGCAGTTACTGTGTGCTAGGCCCCATTCTAAGAGCTTTAGAAATATAATCTTCACTACTTGAATGGCCCTGGGATAAAGATGGTATTATATTGTGTTAATCATACATATGGAGAAATATAGGAAATTTAATAGTTATGGAATTGGTTTCAAAATTTAACAAAAAGAGTTTTTCCTGCCTCTTCAATTTAGTTGTCCCGTATTAAACTTGCCAAGCCCAATCATTTTATTCTTCAGTGTTAATATTTGCTGCCTATAATACAGAGTTTTTAAGAGTTTTTGAATCATTTCCTTTAGATTGCCTATATTTTTCTGTCAACTGAATTAGAAAAGCAAGCTCTGTTTTGATCAATTTATGTAGCTCTTTTTATCTCAAGATCTCAGCAACCTCCTCATCTGCTCAAAAAAATGTAGTACATTCTATTGTTCACAATAGCTAGTAAATAATCATCTGTTGCCCACATGCAGAGTTCCTAACTCTGAAGAGTCAAACAATTTAGTAGAATCCCTAACTTTCAGGAGTGCCTAGGTGGCTCAGTTGGTTAAGCACCTGCCTTTGGCTCAGGTCCTGATCCCAGGGTCCTGGAATCAAGCCCTGCATCGCATCAGGCTCCCTGCTCATCTGGGAGTCTTCTTCTCCCTCTCTCTCTGCCCCTCTCCCCTACTTGTGCTCTCTCTCATGTATGTTCTCTCTCAAATAAATAAATAAAATCTTTAAAAAAAGAATCCCTAACTCTTGGGAAGCTTAACAATTAGGAGAAACTCAAGGACATATGAGAAAATGGATGCTACTTTGGCCATTATTTCCAGATTCTATTCACATCATTCTTGCCTACCTAGTTTCTTTTACCCTTCATGTAAATCTTTTGGGAGGTTTGGGGTATTTGTGTTTTGTGGGCTTGGGTTCAACTTGTCTTTGACTTGCTCTTATGATAACTAAAGGTTAACCAGTTGCTTAAAAGTTGCCATGACCACTGACAAACTAAACAAAAGATTATGACATATTTGTGGGACACCTTTCATAAGTAAGAGGCCTGGTGCAAATGACAGCAGACTGGGACAAGCAAAGACAGCAGCATAAGCAGCAAAGTATAGATCTAAGTAAACCAGCCATCTAAGATCATGGAATACTGCTATGGAACAGCAGGAGATGATCATGACACAGAGCTCGGTTAGTATAATAAGGCATGAAGAGAGAGGGGGAGAAGTAAAAATAATTTCTTTAAATGTTGTTTGCCACTATAGTATATAGAATTGTTTTTCCAGTACTTGTTCCTTTAGACATTCTAATTTGTATACATACTACGGGTTCCTGGCATTCGGCTACACTTTAGTTAGAGAATTCCTCCTCTTTGATAATAGCTGAATACTTCTTGCCATCTCAAGCATGTAGGCATTTCATATTACGACCTCTTTTCTTGAAAGTCTCTCCGTTGCTATTTCCTTGTCATTTTATTATCTATTTTCTTAGTGTTCGTGTACTTAGATTTTTTTAAATTAATATTTGTGATGCTTAGGCATGATGAGATTGTCTATCCGTTCAAAATATATCCATTAAACCTTATTACTTGCCACGAATATTAACAAACTCTTTGAAAAGTAAAATGAGCAGTAGAATTGAGGGAAGATTTACTTGTTTTATGGTGGACCCACCATTTTTCTGCTATTCAGTTTGGCTTTGACCTCTGTTCTGTGTTTTACCACTGCCTTCTACCTTCACCCTGCCTTTACTCAGCTTTAACTGTCATCTTTTGTAACCTTTCCAGGTACCCTGGGAACTTTAACAGATCAGGAGATCTTTGTATCAGCTCAGATTCTACTGCTACCTAATTACATGCCATTAATCTCTCTAGAATTTTATCAGCTGTAAAATAGAAATGACTTGCCAGCTTTACACAATAGCTGTGAATGTCAGGTTATTTAAACCTGAGTTTATTCGTAAATTAATCTAATAAATATTTATCAAAGTGTTTATGAGTACATAAATAGTATCCAGAGAAATATCCAGAGGCACCTCATCTGTCTTTTCATTTAAACAGGAGGGAAGGGGAAACTTGGCTTTGCTGCTTAGCAGTTATAACTTGGGTAACCCCTCTGGGCTTCAGTTTCCTCCTTTGCAAAACAGGCATTGTGATGGTGACCACCTCAGAGAGTTACTGTAAGCATTAAATGTAATTACATATTTAAAGTGCTTAGGACAGTGCCTGGCATATAATTAAGTGTATGAAAAATGGTAGCTATTGTTAACCTGTCTTACATCAGGAAAGGAGACTCCAAATCGTCCTCATGTCTGGGATTTAGATAACCCAATTCTGCCTAATATAATTAAGCTTTTCTTATCCTATTCTCAGAATGAATGAGGAATGATTATGATCATTCATGTCATAACTTGTCATGAACTGTTTCAAGATAATCCCATTATTTTAAGTTCACCACTGATTAGATGAGCAGGGTTCACGATTGAACCAATTGAGATAAATATGTGAAGACATTTTTTAAACTGCAAAGTGCTATACCACGTAATGATTACTTTAATTAATAACTCTCATTTCAGTAGTTACACTTGCCTTCTGTGCCAGTCCTCCAAATGGTTCCTTTTTAAAAGGTATGGTTTTACAAAATTATTAGCATGTAGTTCAGATTTCAGTACTCACTGTGGCTCACTAACTGGTGGTGAAAAATTCTAAAAGAGCAATTCTTACAATGTTTGAGCCATGACAGCATTATTAAACGGAAACCCTGATTTGGACGGTACTAAATTCTGAGTTATTTGTTTTAAGTAAATAAGCTTCTCTAACTCAAATCATTTTCTTAGATGAATAGCTTTGAGAAGCTCAATTTTAGTTAGTGTAAAAATACACTTACGATTATGGTTTAAAACCAAACAATGAGATCACATGTATAACAATGATTCGTCCGCACAATTGGTTCATTCGGTTTGGCGCCCTACCGGGGCACTTTAGGAGCAGGTGGCGGGGCTTGGGTTGGCTTGCTTTTTCTCCCCAGACGTAGAGCATTTTTAAAATGACAATTGTGTAGTGTTGGCTATAACAGAATGGAAAAATTCTTCATGGGAGTTCACAAGCTTATCGGCCTCAGTTATAAGAGGATAATGGGCTAATCAAAACTGAGAAGACTGAGTATTAGACATAGCGCAGGAAGGACAGCGCTCCCATACAGCTTACTCCTCCCCACCCCTTCTTTCCTGAATAACGGTCAGTGAAATGATCCCAGGATTCACACCGCAGAGGAGGAACAACCACGGTGAATCTCCACTAGGAATTAAGAGAGGACTGGGCTTGGGGTAAAAACGCGGCTCCTAAGACTGCGCGTGCGCCCCGGGTGAGGCCGACAAAGGCGCCCTCATTGACTCTCATTGCTTGCGTAATAAGCATGCGTCAGCGGGCCGGGCACGGGGCGCAGGCGCAGAGGGGCGGCACCCGACGGATTCTCGAAGGCGACAGGTTGTAGTTTTTGTTCTGGCCGGAAAGCCTTACTTGGGGTTTCCTTTGCTGAGAGAAATAAAGAACGATTCGCGGGGGTGACTAAGATAAATTCCTCATTTTCATTATAGACTTTGAGGTGGAGGGTCTTCTCAGCGTTAGGGACCCCGAGGTTGGGGGGGGTAGGAGGTTCTGAGCCAGTCCTGCCCCCTACTTTGTGCCCACTGGTATTAGGGATGGTAGGTAGGACTGCAAAGATGAGCGCCTCACACGTCTAAGAGGTTCCTCCTTTCTTCTCTTTTCCGCCCTTTCCTGTCTGTCCACAACTCCTCACCCAGCTGACTTGTCCTTGTGTGAATGGGAGCCAGAAAACCTTGAGAACTTCCAACCAAGCAGTGGTTTCTTCCTCGACGCGGACATGGCACAAGAGAAAATGGAACTAGACTTGGAGCTGCTGTCGAGTTCAACCACCAAAGATGACATGCTGAGAAGATCCAACAGCGCCCCTTTGATCAGTGGGCTTGGGTGAGCAAGCAGCGGGTGGGTGGCAGGAGGTGGGGAAAGAGACTTCAGATAAAGCATTCCCATGCGTTTCTCCCTCGGGGTTCTACAGGTATCTCTCTTGTTCCTGCTCTCCGGAGATCTTACCCTCAGCTTTGGGGGGAGTGGGATGGGCTGGCTGGAGGGAGAGCGCACGCCTACCCTGAGGCTGACACACATGTGACCTGGACGTCCTCTTCTGACAGTCCACCAGGACCCAAAAGCAGCAACCTATTGGTGTGGAGCACCACTTTTCTAACTTCACCCCACCTCTTACCCACTCCTTTGAAGAAGCTGAGCATTCCCCACCCTCACCTCCAGATCTTCTGTGATGACTGTAATTTTCTGTCATTCTCTCAGCTGCTTTGTCACCTCTGACCTTTACCTCCAGCAAATGGAAATGGTTGACAAGCGAAAAAACTTGGTGTTTTTTTTTTTTTTTTTTTTTTAGCTTGGACCTTTTTCCACCTAGTTTTTATTTGAACAAAAAGTTTAGGTACCACAGAAACTTCATCTCCTAAATTTTGCGTTCTCAATGGCCAATACTGACCCCAACTTGGTTCTTGGGGGTATGTGAAAAAAAATCTTGCTCTTTTTATGTATGAGCCACAGCTATAAATACAAAAATATTGTGAAAATTTTCAAGAGGGAGTAATGGGGGGGGGGGTGTCAAAAACAGCTCCTTAGAAGGCTGATAATGAAAAGCGTAAGATTTAGAAACACCATTCTAACTGATGGTTAACTATTTCCTGCACATACCCAAAAGTCTGGCATGACATGTGCTTATAATTTCTTAAAACAGAATTTGAAAGTAAGATTTTGGATCTCACATTGCAGTATCATAAAGTTTTATCAGTATTGTAAAAGTGTTTGAAAAATTCACTCACTCCCTGTGTTAGTAACTTTGCTCCTCTCTTTTCTAGCATCATTCTAATTGATAGGTACAAATCACAACTGTCAGACGTGAACTTGGATACCAGATCTACCCTCCTTATTTAACGTATGAGGAAACTGAGGCCCATAAGTCTCTAAAATGACATAGTAATAGAGCCAGTACAAGGAACCTGTACCTCCTGATTCCTCAGCTAGTGATTTGTCCACTACGAATCAGCTTCTAAGCTTTTTAAAAAAGATTTGTTTATTTTAAAGAGAGTGCAAGTTTGGGGGGAGGAGCAGAGGGAGAAGGAGAGAGAAACTCAAGCAGATTCTGTGCTGAGCCTGGAGCCCGACTTAGGGCTTGATCCCATGACCTGAGCCGAAACCAAGAATCAGACGCTTAACAAACGGCCACCCAGGTGCTCTTCAGCTTCTAAGCTTATTAACTCTAACCAAATGCAGCTTTCTAGTCATTTGAGATAAGGAACAATATACTGTACAAAAGGAAACGCAAAGTAAGATTAAGCAAAAAAAAAAAAAAAAAAATACATGATATTTTAAAATAGAGAAATAAAGGGGCCACAGCTGTGCATGTTGGGCTGAAAACAAGAACATTCTATAAATCCAGGATTGACTGTACTCCTGTTGTATGAAAACATGAATTGTTAAGAACCTGCTCTGCTAGAAGAAAGTACTTGGGGAGAATGTTGGTTTTATTGGAAGCCTTTATGAAATGAAAAAAAAAAGTTGCAAACAAGAAACAGAGTGATGGCAGTTATCCCTTCATGCTTTGTTTTGTTCTGCAAAGGACTTAAATTTTTTTTATCATATTAGAGCATAGTTACAGTGTCAAATTACGTAGCTTCCGCTCCTGATGGATGAAGCAAAATTGGTACAGAAAGGTAAGAGGCAATTGCATATATACCTAGTTAGTAGGAGTTCAAGGTCAAGAAAATGCAAGGTGGACCAGTTGTCAAAAAAGAGGTAGCATAAAGATGATATATGACATGCCTGAGGTCAGGGAACTTGGCCAAATGATCTCCTGAGGGCAGATTTTGTGCTGTTGTGGCCAGTTTAGGGTGTGGTCAGGGAAGCGAGAACAATCTAGAGTAGAATCCCACAACACCTCGGTTGAATTCATGTTCACCTCCATTCCTTCCGGTTACTTACGCACATTGCTCACTTCCCTCACTTTCACTTAACGGAGCCTCTGGTACTTGTTGCCTTGCTTCTTTCACTGCTCACTAAATAATTGTTGCACTTCTTTCAAGTAATTTTCCAGTTTTGCTTGATGCTTCCTGTATATACACACAATCTCTCGTGCCAGAATTTGGAGAATTTGTTCCTTAAATATTAACTCTTTAATATAAGTATTACTGTTTTTAAAGAAGTTCTTGCACTGTTTTGTGTACATCTTGTATTAATAAAAATATCCAATGTCAAAAGTTTTGAACCTCTTGGTTCTTTATCCTCTTTAGCCCTCTACTTACCTGACTTCACTACTGGTGTCAATAACTTTGTTTAAAGGTAGTAGGTTTGTTTTTTGTCTCGTTTCTCTGGCTCTTAGGAGGATTAGAGCAAGTTCTAGGATTTCTGCCAGTGTCTTTCCCCCGTAAATACCTCTAGCCTGACCCTGCGTTTAAACTGTTTGAAAGTGAAACAACTGCCTGTGGGTTGAATCCATCCTGCTACTTGATTTTGTAAATAAAGTTTTATTGGAACATGGCCATGCCCATTTGCTTACTTATTATCCAGGGCCACTTTCCCACTATAGTGACAGACCTTAGTAGTTGGCACAGAGACTGGATGTCCAACAAAGCCCCAAATATTTACTGTCTGGCCCTTTGCAGAAGTTTGCTGACCATCTGTTTTATTAAATTCTTATAAACGTGGAAAGAGAATAGTGGCCATAGAGAATGGTTGCTTTGTGAATATAACTGGCATAAACATAATACAGTTTAGATATTTAGAGCTGCTTATTGGTCATTTGATGTGGAGCCTTGAACATGTGTCTAGTTATAGTGCCTTCACTTTTTCTAAGCTGTAGCACTTAACTCAGTTGTAGATACCACTAGGATTTTAGGAATTCATGTTGAATGACTCCTACCAATTGAAATATATGCTTCCTCAATGATTTTTTTCAGTTATAGTCCTGTTAAAATCGACAGACAAAATTTTAGCAGAGAATATAATTGTGCCAGCCTTAAGAATTCCCCCCGCCACATACAAAAAAGTGGAAATATGTAACTCATTAGTGTCCCTCCAGCTTTGTTATAAATGACTGCTAGAATCCATTCCTGTTCTTATAGGAGAAAATGACTGGAAAATGAAGTAAAACTTAGACCCATATATATACCTGTGTGCTCATAAAATACTGAATAACTGCCTGTTATATGCAAATGACCATGCTGCAAAGTTGTATCTCGACTCAGCTTTTAACTTAGTAGGGCAAATAAGTAATCAAAGGACTTAAGTATATGATAGAGTAAGATCTATGCTTAGGGACAGAAAGAAAGTGCTAGGGAGATTCGAAGAGCGGAGTGAGAAATGACAGCAGGATTGGTGAGGAATAAGGAGAATGTTCTTGGAGAAGAAGCATGAGATGGGTACTGAAGAATTGATAGGAGGCAGACGGGGAGAGGGGAGCTCGGTAACTGGGACAGCCTGCAGAGTGTATGGAACAAGCTTGCAGACAGAAAAACAGATGTATTCCAGAAAGCTGGTCAACTCTGCCTGGATCACTGGCTCCCAGATATTCATCTGCTGACCAGTGCTGACCCTGAGTGAATTTTTCACCACCCATGTTTTTTGTTTTTTTTTTTTTTAAGTTAAGAGCAGAGTACTTAAATATGTTGTGATATAGTTGGCCAATTGTCCTTTCCTGGGCAGGACTGTACTTTATCCTGAGATTGTCAGTTACAATTTTTTTAATACCAAATTGTCCTTTCATAAATGAAACAATGGTGTTGGTAGATGGTAGGATTTTTTTTTTAATGACCTTACTGGCAAAAGAAAGATGGTTAGCAACTGTACGTTTGTGCCAAGATTTTGTTTTGAAATTTTACTAGTCCATGAAATCCAAAAGTCTAGAGCTAAATGGTGGTGGGCTTTGAATGTTGTAGTAAAGAATGGAACTGAACTCAGCTCATGATAAAGAGTTACTGAAAGTTCTGAGCAGGTAGACTGCCATAGGGACAAAACCGAGATGAAGGGACAAATTAGACAATTGCAGAGTCCGTAGGAAAGTAAAAAGGCTTGGAATTGGTTTTTGGCAAGGAGCCTGAAAAGGATAAGATGGCTGTAAGAGGGGCACCTGGGTGGCGCAGTCATTAAGCGTCTGCCTTCCGCTCAGGTCATGATCCCAGGGTCCTGAGATAAGCCCCGAGTCGGGCTCCTCGCTCAGCGGGAAGCCTGCTTCTCCCTCTCCCACTCCCCCTGCTTGTGTTCCCTCTCTCGCTGTCTCTCTCTGTCAAATAAATACATAAAATCTAATAAATAATAAAAATATAAATAATAAATAAATATAAATATATAAAACATAAATAAATAAATAAAAAGATAAGAGAGACCTAGCACCTGATTGGATATGGCAAAAAAAAAAAAAAAGAAAAAAAAAGGAAGTGTTAACACTGACTTCTTACCATCATCGGGGAAACCTGGATAAAAACTACATGGGAACTCTGTATTTTTGCAATGTCCTGTGCGTCTTAAACTGCTTCAAAATAAAAAGTTAAAACAAAAACAAGACATAAAAAGGACAAGACTTCTTCAGGGTCCCAAACTCAAATAGGGCCGAGGCACCATCAGAAGCTGAGGAAGACCAGCCCCCTCTTCAGCAGGCGACAGTTGCTTAGCTCCTGTCTGTTGTTGCCATGTGGGAATGTGGCCCAGTGTGGACACAGCTTGCAAATTCTCAACAGAAGCTAGAAATCTGGAATCTGGATTATCTGTGGGAAACCTCTCAGCATTTCGAGTGTGTGCAATGAACCTAAAAACATTTTAATACCGAGGAGGTCAAAACATATCTGTGAAAATCTCCGTTCTGGTGACCCCTGCTACTGATTATCCCTCTTGTTCATGTGAAAACTTCAGAGTTGAGAGGGATTTGGGACTGCACATTGTAGCTTCAATCATAAATTTCAATCAGTTACAGGTTTACACCGAAAATTATGCATTTCCAGGGTCACGATAAATTATACTTCTTCTTGGTAGCATGATTAGCGGTAAAGTGGTATGCTTGAGAATTCCTTTCCTTACACGGAGATTTGTTTAGGCTCAGCCAACTAAGGCTTTGTGTGTGCATGTGTGTGTGGGTGTGTGTGCGTGCGTGCATGCGCGCGTTCTAATTTCTCCATCTGCACAGCTGTCTCCATAAAGAGCCCATTTACATTAACAGCATTGCTGTTTAAGTATTTGAAATCTTATTTCTTTAAAAAAAATTTTTTGTAATGGATTTCAAATGTTTTCTTTTTCTTCATAGTGATAACTCACAGGTGTTCCAAGCTGACATAGTAACTCCAAGAAATGACCCAACGCTTATGACACAACATTGTCTGGTAAGAAAATGCTTGTAGCAGCTTCACTGGCCAAGACTTGTGCTACTGGTCTTAACTAGTGGTCCTCATACTTGAGGATGCACCTGGAAGGCTTGTTAAAACAGACTGCTGGCCCTTGACCCCAGAGTTTCTGATTCTGGGGGTCTGGGGCGGGGCCTGAGAATTTGCATTTCCAACAAGTTCCCAGTTTGAGAAACAGGGATCTAAACATCACTGAAGGAAAAATAAATATGTTAACTACAGTCATGATTACTTTGCTGCAGCTGTGGCAGAATTAACTTTTAAATCCCATCTGGATTTAACATTGAGATTTGTTTTTACGTTTAAGACCATCTGGCTTCCAATTTTTAAAAGAACATTCTAATTTTGAGAGGAAAATTTGCAAGCTCTCCTAAGAGTAGTTTTTAGGCTTTTACTTCAACTTTTATCTCTCATTTATCTTGAATTGAAAATAAGGTTTGTTTTTCATGGTGTTATAATGTAATCTCTAAATTATAGCTCTTATCTACTAATTATCTTGTAAACATAGGAAATATGCTTGTAGATCAGTAAACCAAAACGAACAAATGATTCACTATGTGAATCTTCTTATTAACGTGAAATTCATTTAAGATACAGCTAAGTATTTTGAAGTGTACGATTCAGGGGCATTTAGTGCATTTACAATGTTGTTCAGCTACCACCCCTCTTTTCTTTCAAAAAGCAGACAGCCTGGGATGCCTGGGTGGCTCGGTCTGTTGAGCATCCGATCCTTGATTTTGGCTCAGGTCATGATCTCAGGGCCGTGAGATCCAGCCCCATGTCGCTCTGTGCTGGGCATGGAGCCTGCTTGAGCTTCTCTCTCTGTCCCTCCCCCATCCTCCCTCTCAAAAAAGAAAAAAAAGCACACACATCCTTGGCTTGTTCCCTAGGTGGAAAGCTTTCAGTCTTTTATCTTTGCGTATGATATTAGCTATAGGTTTTGTCAAATGCCCTTTATTGTGTTAGAGAAATACCTTTCCATTCCTACTTACTATTTTTATCATGAAAGCTTGTTGAATTGTTTCAAATACTTTCTGCATCTGTCGAGATGATAATGTGTTTTTTTCCCCTCTGCTCTGTGAATATGATGCATTACATTGATTTTCTTATATTGAACCACCTTTGCATTCCTGAGATAAATCCCACTTGGTTCTGTTGTATAATCCTTTTAATATACTGTTAGATTGGGCCTACCATTATTTTGTTGAGAATTTTTCCATATGTATTCATAAGGGACATTTGTCCGTAGTTTTCTTTTCTTATAATATCTTTGCTGGCTTTGGTATCAGGGTAATGCTGATCTCATAGAATGTGTTAGGAAATGTTCCTCTTCTGTTTTTGGAAGAGTTTGAGCAGGATTGGTATTGATTCTTCTCCAAATGTTTGGTGAAATTCACCAGTGAAGCCATATCCGGCCCTAGACTTTTCTTTGTTGGGGGCATTTTGAAACAGATTCTGTCTCTGTACTTGTTTACAGGTCTGTTGAGATTTTTCTCCTTTCTTTTGAGTCGTTTTGGTAATTTGTGTGTTTTTTTAGGAGTTTGTCCATTTCTTCTAAATTATCTAATTTGTTGACATATAATTGTTCATAGATTTCTCTTACATGACTTTTTAGTGAAATGTTACAGCTTGTAACCCATTTTAAAATATTGCCTCCTAATCTCGAAACTGGATATTTTCCAGGGTGCCTGGGTGGTGTAGTCAGTTAAGCATCTGACTCGGTTTCAGCTCAGGTTGTGATCTTATGGATGGTGGGATTGAGCCCCACGCTAGGCTCTGTGCTCAGCATGGAGTCTGCTTGAGACTTTCTCTGCCTCTCCCTCTGCCCCTCCTCCACACTCATGCATGCCCTCCTTCTCTCTCTAAAATAAATAAACCTTTTAAAAATTTATTAAAAAAAGAGGGACGCCTGGGTGGCTCAGTTGGTTAAGCGGCTGCCTTCGGCTCAGGTCATGATCCCAGCGTCCTGGGATCGAGTCCCACATCGGGCTCCTTGCTCAGCGGGGAGCCTGCTTCTCCCTCTGCCTCTGCCTGCCACTCTGTCTGCCTGTGCTCATGCTCTCTCTCTCTCTCTCTCTAACAAATAAAAAAAAATCTTTAAAAATTTATTAAAAAAAGAAACCGGGGGCTGCCTGGGTGGTTCAGTGGGTTAAGCCTCTGCCTTCAGCTCAGGTCATGATCTCGAGGTCCTGGGATCGAGTCCTACATTGGGCTCTCTGCTAGGCAGGGAGCCTGCTTCCTCCTCTCTCTCTCTCTCTCTCTCTCTACTTGTGATCTCTCTCTCTGTCAAATAAATAAAAAATCTTTAAAAAAAAAGAAACTGGATATTTTCTTCTTTGTAGAATGGTATCCAAAATTACTTCCACAAAGGCAGTATTATTCTGGGAAAACGTTAGAATTGTTCATTAAACAGATCTTCCTTGTATTTACTCATTCATTTACTCATTCATTTAATGGTATTTATTGAGCACTTGTTTGTCTATCAAAGACCTCCATACCTAGTCATTCTTCTTTTCTACTCAGCCAAGTCAACAAATTTTTTAAGCAATCTCCTATGTATTAAGCCCTAATCTAGTTCCCAGAGAGATCTAACCTAGTATGAGAAGCAGCGGTTGGAAATGACCTCCCTTAGTTGAGATCTTACTGATGTGTAGGAGTTCACTTGCTTGAGATGTGGATCATAGGGATCCACATCCAATATCTACCAAGATATTAAAAAAAATTGGCGTGTGTGAAGGCCTAGAAACAGAAAAGAGTATAGTACATTGAGAATAGAGTGTGTAGAGAATTTGAAAGAAGTGCATTCTAGCCAGTGTGGAAGTAGAGATGAAGTGGTGAGAGATGAGATTGGAGATGGGGATTAGTGTAAGATCTCGTAGGGCCTTCCAAGTCAGGCTAAAGATTTTTCACTTTGTCCTCCTAAGGTCAATACAATGCCATTGAAGAGTTCCAGGTCTGTGATTGACATGACCACATTTTCATCTTCAAAAGATTATCCTGGCTGCAAAGGGGTAAGTAGATTGGAACTGGGCAAAAGGAGATAGGAGATGATCACATAGGAGGCAAGTACAGTGACCCTGGCTACTGTTATGGCCGTGGACATGGAGAAGAGTGGGAAATTCATGAGATATTTGAAAGGTAGAATCAATTGCTGATAGACTGGATGGAGGGCGGGCCGTGGTGGTGGCGAAGATGACTACTAGGCCTCTGACTTGGGCAACTGATGGGTCTGGCGAGGCCACAGAAGAGGGGAAACTTTGCCAAAAGAGTGGATTTAGAGGGGAAGATAAATTTAGTGTTGGACATGTTCAGTTTGAAGTTCTCTGAGATCTCTAGGTAGAGATGTTAGTTATACTAGTTTGAAGCTCAGAATAGCAGTCTGGGCTAGAGACACACATTTAGGCATCATCAATAGATCCTTATTTAAAGCTATGGGAATGAATAATATGACTTATGGAGAGAGTAAAAAAGGAGAAAAAAAAAAGAGGCTACAGGAAACAGCTTTAAAGATCACCAGTAGTACCATGAAAATACAAGGAAAATGTTAAGTCGTATGCTATCAAGTGGTCAAAATGATAAAAACTGAAATGTGTCCTTTGAGTTACCCAAATGGAGATTACTAATGAATTTCTTAAATTCAAAAACAAGTTCTTTGGAGAGAGGGGTGGGGTGAGATGAAGCTGGATTGGATTGGGCTGAAGAATGCCTGAGAAGTGGGGGCCTCTAAGTGGCGTCATACAGACCAGCTTGGTTATTCACATGCACATTACCCTTTCTATGCCTTAATTTCCTCTTCTGCAAGATGGGAATGTGGGTTTGTTGATGTGAGTACATTAATCAGTGTAAAATATCTCCAAAAAACTGGAAGCAAAAGAGAAAAACTGAAGAGCACATAACACAACAGTGTGAATACACTTGTCACCACTGCACTGGTGCATTTAAACACGGTTAACATGGTACATTTTATGTGTATCTTATGATAGTCTAGAGAAAAAAAAATTGCAGGATGCCCCGGGTGGCTCAGTTGGTTGAGCGCCTGCCTTCAATTCAGGTCGTAATGCCGGGCTCCTGGGATCAAGGCCGGCATTGAGCTCCCTGCTTATCAGGGTGCCTCCTTCTCCCTCTCCCTCTTCCCCTCCCCGCTGCTCATATGCTCTCGCTCTTTCAAAATTTAAAAAATGCTTAGCATATAAAAAATCAGCATAAGGCACTCAGCACTGTATTGACACATACTAAGTACTCAATAAGTCTAGATGTTTTTAATTAGCAATAGTACATATAGAGCGCAAACATGTACCTGACAATTTTTTAAATGCATAATTTTCCTTAGGAATTCTAGGCTCTTAATTGGCATAAGGTTCAATTTAATATAAGACATGTTTTAAACAAACCATCTTGCAGAACGGTTGTGTTTGGCAGAACTGACGTCATTCACACTGACTTGATGATGGGAGTTTCAAGATTTAATGGTTTGGCTTACTGTAACAGTGTAATGCATAGGCTTTTATTTTTTATTTTTTTTAAAGATTTCATTTATTTATTTGACAGAGAGAGACACAGCAAGAGAGGGAACACAAACAGGGAGAGTGGGAGAGGGAGAGCAGGCTTCCCGCCTAGCAGGGAGCCCAATGCAGGGCTCAATCCCAGGACCCTGGGATCACAACCTGAACCGAAGGCAGAAGCTTAATGACTGAGCCACCCAGGCACCCCTTAGGCTTTTATTTTGTTTGAAGTATCACTTCGTTATTATTCTAAGACTTACGTAGGTTGTTACTTGCTTTCAGGATAAATAAGCTGAATTGTCTGGGAGAATGACATGGTAATTAGAGTGCTTTCGGCAGAAGTAACAAAATCCTGATATATCCCATTACAAAATAGAAATCATTTTTGAAAAAATGCACATATGGTTAAGTAATAACATGAATCCTAAGCATAAGGGTGCTTTCCCCATACTAGACTGTCCTTAAAATTGGTGCCGCAGGAACCCAGAGTTCATAGAGACAGAAAGTAGAATGGTGGTTGCCAGAGGCTGGGACTGAGGGTGGAATGAGAGTGATTTAATGGGTATAGGGTTTTGGTTTTGCAAGATGAAAAGAGTTCTGGAGATTGGTTGCATGGCAGTATGAATATACTTAACACTACTGAACTGTATACTTAAAATGGTTAATATGGCAAATTTTATGTGTATTTTATCACAATTTTTTAAAAAAATCGGGACTGCTTTTCATGTATTTCAATATAGGTAAAAGTGTTTTAGAAAAAAAATGCAGGGGCACCTGGGTGGCTCAGTGGGTTAAGCCTCTGCCTTCGGCTCGGGTCATGATCTCGAGGGCCTGGGATCGAGCCCCGGGTCAGGCACTCTGCTCAGCGGGGAGCCTGCTTCCCCTTCTCTCTCTGCCTGCTGCTCTGCCTACTTCTGATCTCTCTCTGTCAAATAAATAAGATCTTTTAAAAAAAAAGAAAAAAGAAAAAAAATGCAGTGGTAGAGGTCATTGAAGAACCACGGGAGCCATTTAACATGCAGATAAAGATGCACATTTCCAATCCTTGTAAAAATCTGCTCTCTCACAATTATTTTCTTAATTAAGCTCCAGTAGTTCCCTCCATACTCTCAGAAAATCACTCCACCCCACTTCTGATGAGCAGAAACCCAAAGTCCTCTTCTGACCGTAGGGACCGTGCCTTCCCCTGATTATCCCTTCTCTGTGTTTCCTAAGAACTCCAGGGTTGGTGTGCCTGTTCCCCACTCTTCCACTAGGAGTTCTCTTCCTGGCACCTCTGTTGAATTTGGGGCAGCCACATCTCTTCTCCATCTCCACCCCCTCCTACTCCAAGAAAAGCAGGAGAAATGTTTCTTCTTCCTGGCAGAAATGATTGTACTCTTCTTGAGCACTTTATCCCTTTTAATTTTATGGCTACCGATATTTATCTGATTAGGTTTTGCTTTTCATATGGCAACTACAAACTAAACTTAATTTACAGCCCACCCAGTAGTAAGTGTGTGATACATTCCTGGCCCTGCTTTATGCTCCGTCCCGCTGGCCTACATTCAGTTCATGTTCAGGGTCAGTCATTGCAGGAACTAGGCAGAGGAGTTGATAACCATAGCGTACAGCTCCTGTTCTGGACTTGCTGAGTGCTTTAGCTCTAGTAAGTACAGAAGGAATGGGTTAAAAATAGCAAACATAGTAAAGTTAAACTTGTTTTCAAAGAATTTAAGGTCTTTACAGTATTAGTTTTCTGTGGTTTCTCCTTTAAATGGAACTAAGCTTGATCTTTCCTTTCTTAATTCCTCCGGTGAGGATAATGCTTGGGAATCTGCTTCACCCAGCATGCTCCCCAGTGCCCCCCACTCCTCCCCAGCCCCATGCCCTCCTTCCTTGGTGCAGATTCTCTTGCTTCCTCCCAAGAGGGGGCAGATTCTCTTGCTTCCTCCTCTCCGCTCCTAGAGTGTGATAAACAGGCACAATGAGAAATTTACATAAAAGACACCAGTGAGGTTTATTGATGTCTCAGAATTGCTTTCTTTCTATTTTAATACTTTATTTCATGTAGAAAAATTATCTAGGGATGCCTCAGTCAGTTAAGCATCTGCCTTTGGCTCAGGTCGTGACTCCAGGGTCTTGGGATCAAGTTCTGCATCTGGTCTCCTTGCTCAGCCGGGAGCCTGCTTCTCTCTCTGCCTCTGCCTGCTGCTCCTCCTGCTTGTGCGATGTCTCTCTCTCTCTCTCTCTCTCTGACAAATAAATAAATAAAATCTTCAAAAAATATATTTTAAAAAGTTATCTAAGGTAATTCCCTTGCAAACACCACCTGTAGTGCTTAACCTGTGGGAGATTGTCTTCCAGAAGCCTTCTTTTCTCCAACTAATTTTCCATGTTATTCCTAAAAAATCAGCCAAGTTCAATATTTAATCTACATTTTGTGGCTTATGAGTCTATAGCTCAAGTTCAAATCCTACCCTCCCCAGACATTTCACACTACATTCCTGTTGATCTCATCAATTTTAGTCAGGCAGTCCTCTCAGGATTTCCTAGATACTTTTTTTTAAATAATTTTTAAAAATTTTTTATAAACATATAATATATTATTAGCCCCAGGGGTACAGGTCTGTGAATTGCCAGGTTTACACAATTCACAGCACTCACCATAGCACATACCCTCTCCAATGTCCATAACCCCACCACCCTCTCCCTACCCCCTCCCCCGGGCAACCCTCAGTTTGTTTTGTGAGATTAAGAGTCTCTTATGGTTTGTCTCCCTCCCAATCCCATCTTGTTTCATTTATTCTTTTCCTACCCCACAAACCCCCCATGTTGCATCTCCACTTCCTCATATCAGGGAGATCATATGATAGTTGTCTTTCTCTGATTGACTTATTTCGCTAAGCATAATACCCTCTAGTTCCATCCACGTTGTTGCAAATGGCAAGATTTCATTTCTTTTGATGGCTGCATAGTATTCCGTTGTATGTATATATGTGTGTGTGTGTGTGTGTATCTATATATAGATATAGGTATATATATATATATATATATATATATATCTCACTTCTTCTTTATCCATTCATCTGTTGATGGACATCTAGGTTCTTTCCATAGTTTGGCTATTGTGGACACTGCTGCTATAAACATTCGGGTGCACATGCCCCTTTGGATCACTACATTTGTATCTTTAGGGTAAATACCCAGTAGTGCAATTGCTGGGTCATGGGGTAGCTCTATTTTCAACTTTTTGAGGAACCTCCATGCTGTTTTCCAGAGTGGTTGCACCAGCTTGCATTCCCACCAACAGTGTAGGAGGGTTCCCCTTTCTCCGCATCCTCGCCAGCATCTGTCATTTCCTGACTTGTTAATTTTAGCCATTCTGACTGGTGTGAGGTGATATCTCATTGTGGTTTTGATTTGTATTTCCCTGATGCCGAGTGATGTTGAGCACTTTTTCATGTGTCTGTTGGCTATCTGGATGTCTTCTTTGCAGAAATGTCGGTTCATGTCCTCTTCCCCTTTCT